GAGAGAGAGAGAGAGAGAGAGAGAGAGAACATGAGTTTGAGGTATGGGAAATAGAACGGGGAGAGGGGGATGTGGGCGAATGTGTAGGTCGGTGGGGCCTGAAATGGTGTCAAAACTTGTTCTCCTCTCTCTCTCTTTCTGTTTGAATTACTTGTCTACTCTAGCTCATTGGGAGTTTGGTGGAGTTTTTGTGTTAATGGTGGTGGTTTCACACCCTAAAGTCAAAAGTTGCAGTCTTGCATCCTATGTACGTTGACAGATTCACAAAAGCTAAGACACATTTGTACCTGCAAGGGATACTTGTGCATAAAAAATGACAGTGCAGAAAGGCGTGATAAATATATTTCTTTTGCTTTGTCCGCTTCCAGTTGAGACTACATGCGGTTAGACAAATTTCATTTTTAATTAACGCCATTTTATTTGTTGAACGTGGGGTAAACTGTTAGAAACTGGTGTTAATTTTATGTACATCAATGTTTTAGTGGCTTTTCGAACTGAGTTGGTGTATCACACCACTATACGGCCACCCCCCTAGCCATGTTTCATCTGCCAAATACGATTTGTGGGTGGTTGGCGGGTGCTCTGGTTTGGTATGCTTCTTCTTTCCTATCAAACATCTATGGTCCCTTTCTCCCTTCTTTTTTATGTTTGTTACTCTCTTGTAACTCATCTAATCTGCTGACGCTCATATGACCTTATGCAGTTGCGAGCGCCTTGCAACCTCTACTAAAACACAAACAAAATACGATTTTAGCCTCGAAATTTGACTTTTTGTGTACATGACGCATTGCCCTGAACTTTTAAGACTGCGCTGTGTGATGTTCTTCGCTCTTCACTGTCTATAAACATTTGGTAGCGAGTCGTGGCGCACCGTGGGCCACGCCATCATATCCAAAAGAAGGTTAGAACACCTTCTCGCTATAGTTAATTATTATTCTCGGACTCGCAACCGTAAGGTCATGGGTTCGAATCTCGCCAGGGGCCCGACGTTGTGTGCTTGGGAAAGGCACTTTGCACAAATTTTCCCCACTTCACCCAGGTGGAAATGGGTATCCGGCTATAGACAGTGAACGATCTTGTCAGTTTGATAGTGTTTGAGCGCGTGAAATCCGCAGCTTGCACTGTATGCTTCCGCGGAAGCCGAGAATGTTTCTGAGTGTTCTCAGAGGGTCTGCTGGGGTAATAATAGTTGTACAGCGCATAGAGCATGCTCTTGAGCTTGGATATGCGCTATATAAATGCAATTATTATTATTATTATTATTATTATTATTATTAAGTGTGCGAGCACCACTTCTCCTCCACCTCCTCCTTTTTGTGTCCTTCAACTGGGTTAACGTTGTCCAATGTTATCGGAGACTGACGCTCAATCGGGAATCTCATCACTTAGACAGACCTCGCTTGTTGGGGTTTTTTTTTAGTTGTTTTTTTTCCCCCCAAAAGGGACGCTGTACCGGCCACATATCGTAAGAATCCGTAGAAGAGAAGAGGGTTTGGGTTTTTTATAATGGAGGGGAGAGTACTGTTTCGTTTAGATCAGATCGGATACAGTGAGGTAACAGTTAAATGTAATCCCCTCCCCCTAAAAAAAAATTTAAAAATTACGAAATGTTTAACCTTATGCGATATAACCATGGTCACCGGCGTGGAGGAACCACTGTGAGCTTGTAGGTTGTCTCCCAGGGACAGGAAGCAGTGGGCTGTGATTGTCGAATATCTTAAAGCCGTGAGGGAAATGGGGGGGGGGGGGTATTCAGACGAACCTACTTAAACGGTCACCTGTAGAAGTCAATCACCTGTAATAACGAACGGTCTCATTTCCTTTCCTGTGTATATTGGTGAAATTATATTGGAACTGTCATAAACAGTCTCTTGTCCAAGACGGCTACTTTTCTCCTCGGTTAAGGAAAGCAGCCGTCTCAGACAGTTTTGAATGTATTTTACTCTTAACCTCTGTAAAACTTGCGGTAAGTCAGAACATCGAGCCGTTTCGCAAGTTCTGCATTATAATAGGAGGTATAATATCTACCCCCGTACCTCCGCGTAAAGAGCAGGAGGCCTGGTGTGCTGTGTATGTCCCAAGGCCAAAACGTGTCCTCTCGCTCGGGCAGCTGGAACCGTTTACCTCCCCTTGGAAATGGCATCGCCTCTGGTGCGGGGGCTTGTTCCCGTCAAGTGGCGAAAAGAGCAGGACAGCCAACCGAGCCAGCCACACGTTTTGGCCTCTTCTTCTTCTTCCTCGGCTCGAGCACTGATCCTCCGCCTGTGTTGAGGTGTTAAAGAAAGCTGTGTGGATGTTTCCTTGTTGTTTCCTCGTGTTCTGTGGTGGTTCAGAGAATCATTTTTCCTAATATTATCTTAAACGAAGGGTTGTGGTTGGAATATTCTTTTTAAAATAACCGTACGGTACATGTATTTTTCTTATTATCCTAAAAGTTAGCGATACGTAAGCGTCAGCTGATTTGCCGAAAATAATATTTCCGCAACCATGACAATGATCTGTTTAACGACGTTTATTTGGAACAATTCTGTTTGTATGTGCGACCCAAAGCCAAATAAAAACAGCGCTATTGATCTGTCCTAGAATGGACAATGTGGTTAATTTATCATGTCCCATGTATGCGGGCATGTGTGTAGCGGAATCTGTGTTATTCATTTGGATTATTGTGGTAAAATTAATTATGTACAAAAGTTGAATACTCGGTGATACAGGTGACTGGTGGTCGTCAATGACTGGCGTTGGTAACACATTGTGTCAGTTCTGTCGTGGGTTCGTGTGTTTGTGTTGTGCATTTTGGATGACTTGACTCTGATAGGGTGGTTTGAGGGACCTCATCGTACCTCTCATTTTTTAATCCTGTCATCTTAAACATATGTAATATGTTTTGCATCTTAATTTCATCTGCTCGTATTTAATTAAATTTAGGGTTAATAAGTTCTGAACACATTCGAATTATTCCTTGTTCAGAGAAGGACAGTTGGTTTGTTTAATATTATTTGTGATTAGTTATTTAATCAACTGTTTCATTGTTTCTAGTTTGACTGTTTTGTTTGTTATGAATGTTCGTTTACTTCGATACAAGTTATGACCCCCGCTGTGATTGTTTGCTGTAAAGGCAAACATTATTTATCTCTCCTTTTTTTTTCTTCCATTCTTGTGTTCATTATATATTGAACTCAAAATTATACATTTGACGGGGTTGTTTTTTCTTTTCTTAATTTGAATGTAATTTACTTTTGTTTTTATTCATTCCTTTATCTATTTTGTTCATTTTATCTATTTGTGTCTGCCTTCTAGGACCGCACTTTTCTTAAAGAAACAAGCTCAAGTTCTCTTTGCTTTTGCCCAGTATCCATTAAGTGTTTTATTTCTCCCTTCCCAGGCGTGTCCCGCTCCATGGGTTTGGGAGCTCGTCCGCCCGGCTCACCCTCTGGTCTGAGTTCGTGCCCCACCAACAGCGGCGGCCTGTTCTCCTCCAACAAGACCGGAAACGGCCCCATCAACGTCAACGGACTCCACGACAACATCCCCGGTGGCCCCGGCAATTGCTACAACAGCCACCCCGGCAACTCCAACAGCAGCAGTAGTAGCAATAGTGCCACCACCAACAGCAGCAGCAGCAGCAAGAGTGTATCAACATCGGTAGTCCCGGCGGCGTCATGCAGCGTCCTGTGCCCGCTGTGCCGGCATGAGTGCAGCAGGAGCCAGAGACTGGAAGATCACCTGGTCCGAGAACACAACGTGGCGCCAGACGGCGTGCAGCGGCTTATGTGTATGGTGGAGATGCCTGCAGCAGCAGCAGCAGCAGCGGCGGCCGCAGCAGCAGCAACTACTACAACTACAACAAACGCCACCGCCATGCCCACCACCACCTCCTCCTCCTCGTCCTCATCGTCGTCATCTGTGTCCCCACCCGCCTCGTCATCGCCTCTACCGCCGTCGTCGTCTCTCCCCGCTGTGCCACTCCTCTCTGCCACAGCGTCTGCGGCGACCGCCTCCTCATCCTCCCCTCTGACAACGTCGACCATGTTGGATACGGCGGCGTCTGCACCTTTATCTACGTCGTCGTCGTCATCACCGCCAGCGCCTGTAACGGCGATGACGTCTGACGAGAGCTGTCAGTTGCCAGCCCCAGCCCCGAAGACAACGGCTTCATCTCCATCTCCCAATTTAACATCTCTCCCGCATGCCGGTTCAGACGAGAAAACAGGTTCGTTGGCGAATACATCATCAGCGCTACCAACTGCGGCAAACGCTGCTACAGCAGAAGCAAAAACAACAGCTACCCCTGCTGTACCCACAACGACATTTAATAATGACACTATGGACGTCAAGTCGTCTGGCATCTCGTCGTCAGCAGCCGTGTGTGAAGATTCTGACGAGAGAAAGGTAGACGAGTCCGTCACTCCTGAAGTCCGAGACCAGAACGGGTTGGACGTCATTCCAAAAGCCAGGCCATCCTCTTTTACAGGCTCGTCAGCTCCCAGGGAGGGGTTCTCCTTATTACCGACAGTACCCACGACCACCACAGTTCCGTCGTCGTCTTCATCTTCATCTAACAACGGTGGACAGTTGACCACAAACTCCTCCCCTTTTACTTCAATGCCCAGACTACTGAAATCAGACAGCCGCACGGACATATCAATGACTAGCAACGAGAGAAAAGAGATTAACCTGGAGCTTTTGGAGGCAGAGCATTCCAGTCTGTTGGCGAAAGACGGTGAGTTGCGTTGTGTTGCAATAGAAAGGCATACTATTTCTTGGGTCTCTTAAGTTGTTCTGTCTTAGAATGTGTGTAGGTTTCTCAAGTTGTTCTCTTAGAATTTTTGTCTCTGATGGGCTTATGGGACTGATTAAAACCTGCAAATACTTTGCCATATCGACAGACCGAAGGGCTAGAACCCAGATGGCCGCTGGATCGGAAAAGTAAAAGTAAAGTATGGGCTTATGGGAAAGTATGGGAAGGATTTGTTTTTGAATTTTTCTTCTACTTAAGAAAAGTTTTTGTTTTGTTTTTTGGGGCATTTGGTATTGTTATTGTGGGTTTTTTTTATTAATCTAATTGTTGTTGTTGTATTGTTGTTGTTGTTGGGGGGGTTTTTTTTGGGGGGGGGTGGGGTGTTTTGTTATTATTTGTTTATTTGTTTGTTTATTGTTGTTGTCGTTGTTTTGTTTTTTTAGAGAGTGGACCTAGAACTAGATGACTTGGATGTAATGGTCTGGTTCTTTGATTTGCGCGCAGAAGACCCGATATTCCGTTTCCTGCTTGGGGAAGTTCATTTAATCGAATAGCCTCTGTCTCTTCGCTGGTGTTCTCCATTCCATCAAGTCCGGGATGTTGTTACCGGGCAGGGTCGAAGCAGCCCACCATCTATAGTGTCCACATTAGATGGAGAGAGATGTGAAATATTTTCAATAATAAATAAATAAATAAATAAATAAATAAATAATAAATTACACTTTTATTTGTCCCAGAAGGGCACTTTGTTTTACAATGGCAAACATACATACATAATTATAAATACGTACATACATAAATACATACATGCATAAATGCATACATAAATACACTCTATTACACAAATACAGAACAGTTTACAAACAATGCCACTGTCAGTCGCCACTGTGCAGCGCCCTGTAATTTGAGCTAGGGTTGTGTCTTGCTCAAGGACACACTCCAGTGACCACCCATCTGATCCCCGTGTCACTGACACTTGCTTGACATTGCTTGAGTCAAAACTCACTACTCACTTAGCCACTGGAGCCCCCGAGCGTTGTTGCCGTTATACTGTCTGTCCCTTTAACTTTGTCTTTCCCCCTAATTAAATCGGATGCTGATTTAAACTTCCCTTTTGAGTTTCGAGGAATGTTACTTTTATGCTGCAGTCTCTTTGCGCCACATGGGTAGTCAGAAGTTTGGGTAGGTCCTGTTCCTTTTCTTTCACAGCGTTGTTTAAGTCTTGTCTTCTTTTTCCCTTCACTTAATAGCTGGGGGCTTTTTCTTGTTAACGAACTCCACTAAATCAAACCTTTGTGCTCTTAGTAAAGTAGTCTGCAAATATAAGAAAAAGGGAACTGACTGTTTTCTGCGTTTTCGACCTTATTAACACGACCTAATGTTTCTTTTTAAAAAACCAGTTTGAATTTATTTTATTATATAATCTAGTTCGTTTATTATTCGTTCATGTATTTATTTGTGCATTCATATTCTCTTTTGTTTATTTACATTACTTTGTTTAGTTGATTATTTTTTCTGTACTTCATTTAATGTTTATATAATAATTTCTTTATCAATTCATGTGGATTGATTTAATTTATTTACTTCCGAAAAACAAATCGCCGAGTGCTAGAGCATATGGTGAACAGTAACCTTTCGGAGTTGAAAAAAGGGGTGCTCGAAGATTTGTTTTTCCTGAAGCGATTCAAGGAACTGGAAAAATTAAACAAACGAAGGGTAACCCCTCCTTGGCAGCTTGCTCCCGAGCTATTGTTATCTTGACAGGCTGGGGCTTCTATTCCTGAACAGGAAGATGTCATTCTGAGACACAGAAAAAACATATTTCGAGAGAAGGGCTGGAGACAAAACGTCGAAATCTCATCGGGGCGATTTCTTGTTTTTTGCTTTTCTTTTCCTGCCCATCCCCTTATCCCCGTTCTCTTTCTCTCTCTTTCTCTCTCTCTCTCTCTCTCT